TGGCCAGCGGCAGACAGTGAGCTGATCATAGCCTATGTTTGATCAATTTAGCCTTCTCAAATCATCACAACTTGCCTAAAATAAAATCTATAGATATAAAACAGTTCAAGCATATAACAATGTTTTAACGTTAAACCTAGATAAATGTGCGCTGTATCCAATAGTTTGTGCGGAGAGTGGAAGCTGAAGCGCGCTTTGCAGGACATGGAGGCGCCAGCGCAATCACTTTTTTTTTTTCAGTGGATACGCCGTCATATTTGCTCATAAAGGTAAGAGTAATACATCATTCGTAACTGTAAAGGGTCTACTTTTATTTGTGTGCACTCACACTATCAACAAAACGTTGTGCTTTTATAAAATAAAGAAAACAAACATGATGCGCTTTCTGCCGTCTCGTTTTGAACAAGAGCGCTTCACAAAAATGAACCAAAACTCGGCGAATACATGTCTCACAGACATGATAAATATATCTATAGAAAGCTTTAAATTACTACTTAACGAAATAAAACAAATCAAAAACTATTTCATTATAATCATAATCCGTAAAGATGCACTTTTCTCTAAAGGCGCGTCTAATGAGGAGATGGCGAGTCAGGATCGACAACTTCATCCTTGCGACACCGACTCAGAAAACACTAGTTTATTAGTAAATAACTCAAATATCTCCTTACTATTTCCCCCTGTCACATTTATGGTAATTACTTTTGCCGGTGCTTTGCGGCAAGCTTAAGCCTATTGCTTGCATTTGAACGCAGAACTGTTCAGCTGAGCTGACGGCACGCACCACACACACTGCTGCTGCGGGACACTAAACACCGTCGAGCCGCTCTTGACAGTCGCGGTAGCACGATCTCGTGTTGTTTCCACCAGCGAGGCAATTTTTTTTCATCACTAATTGATGGATGTCTAAAATATAAACATAAGGAGAAGCCTAAAACAGGCCCGAGGTCCGGCCCGCGTCTGAACTATGACGTAAACACTGGCCCGAAGCCCGGCCCGAGGGGCGTAAAAAAGTCGCGGGCTGAAATGCAGGGCTCGAACTCAAACACAAACATTATTTGGACAAAATTGAAATATCTGAGAACCTCTGGATGAAATATCTATATGTCACATGGGAGGTTAGTGTCTTGTGTATTTGTCATATAATTCATTGATAACTCCAAAAACACATGTGGCTCCTTCTGAGTTTTATTTAGGTAAAATATGCAACCCTGTTACTTTTTTGTTGTTATTATTATTGTATAAATTGAATAATGTTTGATATGATTTAGTTGCAAAAATAGCAAATATGATATAAAACTAATAGTTAAACAAATATTTAATTTAAGCTCATTCACTTCAGTCATGTTTGTTCCAAGCAAATGTCTTATAACTTGAAATACAAGACAAGCTTACACTGTCCAGACCTTAAACATCTTCTTCAATACAATGTCATGCTGTCTCTCTTGCTTTTTCCTCTCATTGTATGTAATCACTAAAGTAACATCTGCAGCACCTCTCTGAACATTACTGATGGAATGCCTGAAATAAATCCATTATTAATCCAACATTGAGAGCCCCTTCCCTCCCCCTTCTACCAATAACTGCTGTAATCTCAGATGGACGGGGCTTTTAAAAAGTTGTTTAAAGCATGGCTGAGTGATTCTCACTTTGTACTGTCCCAGCTTATTTTTAACAAAAAGGGGGCTCATCACTTCACTATTGCTGCTTCACACCTGTTATCTCTTCTGCAGGCTAGTACGCTTTTTATTGCCTGATCCGATAACACTAATATTTTTGAGTGATTTTCTCTTGTCTTTGAAACAAAAATATGCAAATAATCAAAGTGGAGTTCAAATGCACAATGTCAGTTATTGCACCATATAAAACCTTGAAATGTTTGAATTATTCATTTCCAGTGGTTTTGAAGCAGTATTGAGCCGGAGATGTTGGATTTTGCCATTATCTGTAGTGTTCTTGAGATCTGACCAAACTTCCGCTGCAGTCTCTTCCCAGCATCACTATAATGATAGGGGTTGGTTTCACATTAAAGGGGTCATATGATGCGATTTCAATTTTTCCTTTCTCTTTGAAGTGTTACAAGCTCTTGGTGCATAAAGAAGATCTGTAAAGTTGCAAAGACTAAAGTCTCAAATCCAAAGAGATATTCTTTATAAAAGTTAAGATTCAACCACGCCTACCTAAAACGGCTCGTTCTAACACGCCCCCACATGTCTACATCACGATGTGGGAAGATTTGCATAACGCCACCCAAATGTTCACGCAAAGAAAGAAGGCGTAACTTTTATTCTCGCTGTAGTATTGTTGCTGCTGCCATGTCGTGAAGACGCTGTGTTTCGGTGTGGAAGCACGCCTTCGTCGAATCCGCCGGCCGCGTCGTTCTCAAGCCCACCGGCCGCCGCTCACTCTAACCCGCCGGCTGTTCCTCACTCTAGCCCGCCGGCCTCCGCTCACTCAAGCCCGCCTCCGCTCACTCTAGCCCGCCGGCCTGAAAGCGAAACTACTTTGTGAAAGCAAAACTACTTTGTTCGGTCTTCTAAAAGAGGACGATATCCGCTTCGTCATGCCTAGAGCTGATCCGTGCTGGTCGCTGAGGAAATACAACAACTTTGC